GTGGGGAAGGGCGTTCAGCCTGGAGCCACGGGGAGGGTTAAGGAGTCAAGAGCATCAGCTTGCGGGGCATGCCTGGGCTCCACAGCAGGTGAGTCCCAGGTCAGGAGCTTAGATGTTTCGGGCTCAAAGCTGCTGGGAGCCACTGGAGGATTTGCAGCAATGGTGTGTTCCAGGATTCCCCCAGCAGCGTTTTGGCAGCTTTAGCCTGGTGAGTAATGGGGACTGGACCAGGCAGCAGCCCTGGGATAGACAGGGAGGAAGAGACCTGCAAGAGGAGTCCCTCCTCTCATCCAAGTTCATGGTCACAGCAGGTTGTGACCTTTCTCCTCCATTCATCTGTGACCCCCAAGGGCAGGCATAGAGTTCGAACATCTTGTCCTTCCGCAGAGCCTCACTTAGGTAGGTAGGGTGGAATTCCATGGGGTGCTTAGATGCTAATGCTGGCGGAGAAGGTAAAAGTTGTGGAGAGTCAAACCCTTGAAAAAATCCCTTCAAATGTCTCTTGTGGATACATCTTAGGAGTAATGGGGAAAAGGAAATGTACAATGGATAATACAAACAGGATACCTGAAAAAAGCTAATTTTTAGCATGGATTTAATGGTCTTTTATTTTTCTACTGGTGAATTCGAATATGTTAAATGCACACCTGTTGTAAAGGCTTCACCAAGCTCAATAAACCTTTGCTAGAGGCATTGAAAGGGATAGCAACTCCCAAGGGATATTCTTATTTTGTCCACTGCTCTCTGGCTTCTACAGAGGTTTGGGGGCCTCAAGTGGACCAAGCAGCATAAGGGAGTGGGAGGAACTAATAGTTCTGGTCATGCTGCTCACAACTGGAGGACTGGTTCACCCAGCGGCAGGGCACACTGCCAGCCACCAGGTCTCCAATGTCAGCTCCTGCTAGGTGTCTGTCCTTGGCTAAAAAGAGTGCCTCACCCAAGGCCACCCAATGACTGATCCATACTACTGTACAAAAGTCCAGCTGTTTTGCCCAAACCTGGGATAAGTCTGCAGTGCCATCTGGGCCACAGAGCACCCTGTGGGGTTAGCCAAGACCCTGTGGTATTTGTACCATGGTCTTGAGCTTTTAACTCTGTCCAATCCTGCCTCCCTCTCTTCCCCAACAGGTGTTCAGGACATGCTTGGGACCCTGGCTTGCAATCAGGAGGCTTTTATTCACTGCTTTGTTATTTTCTACATGATTTGCATTCAGAATACAACATTAGAAAATACTTTTTTGCTTTTACACATAGAATGACATTTTCTTTTCCACGACATTTCAGTGCCTGAGGCACTTTGATAATATAGTCTGGCCTTGTAGGACTAATCAGTTTGGGACGTCTTTTTTAAAAATTGCATTCTCAGGCCAGGGTTGTTGCTCCAAGGTAGAGTGCTTGCCTAGCACGTGTGAGGCACTGAGTTCGAGCCTCAGCACCACATTAAAAAATAATAATAAATAAAATAAAGGTATTGTGTAAAAATATGCTGCATTCTCTTAGCAGGGGTGTGGACTCTTAGAAAATTACTACCACCTGGGCCACAGTTACCAGTGGGAATACACTGGTTGATAGAGTGACCAAGAGGTTGTGAATTATTGCTGCAAAACACAATGAATCCAAACTCCTTGGGGTTTAGTCTCTCTTCTGCAGGTGTGAACACCTCTTGCTCTATGGGAAACGTTGCAAACGATCCAGGCTGCCATCCATCCTGGGGCTAGGATTTGCCTAGGTAGCTGTATCTGTCTGCTTACTTATGTATTTATTCATTTATTTTTACACGCAGACTTTTCCTTTAGGACAACTCTGGAGTTGTCAACTCTTGAGAAATTCAAAATTAAATAAACCTTCTGGAGCTTTTGTTTCACTGTTGTCAATCTTTCCTAACCTGGCAGAAATGACTGGGTATTTTGGCCTGCTTTTGAGATCCCCAGACCCAGTAGGAAGAATGACATGTTCCAACTGAATGACAGGTTCACTGCTGGGCTAATGGATTCTTTTGCCAGGAAGGAGGACCTTGGCATTTTTTTATTTTTAGAAAACGACTGAGCTCAGAAAATGAAGGTATTGTTTGAAACTATGACTTGCTTCTTTTTCTACTTTATTTGCTGGTCTATTTTTTGTTTGGGTGACTTATGCATGTAGGACTCCTTCTGAGACCCACAGAGGTCACTTTCAGAGGTTTGGAAATATAGAACCTATATTATGGGATATGAGGACAGGCACGTAGTAAGGAGAGGTGTACATACAAGCCATATCGCATGATGGTTAAGAGGATGGGCCCTGGATCTGGGTGGACAAATCATAACTTCTCTGAACATCAGTTTCCTCATCTATGCAATAAGCAAAATAAGAGTATCTACTCACCTGGAAACCATGAAAATTCAATTTGATAATATACATAAAAAATGTCAATAAGGCTTGGTCTATAGCATGCAGTCAGTAAATGATAGCTACTTTTCATACGTTTGGTATAAAAAACAGAAGAGGAGCTACAATTAAGTGATTTCATTTTTTTTTCTTTTAAACAGTGTGTCACTAAATTTCCCAGGCAGGCTTCACTCATCATAATCTTGCCTCAGTCTCCCTAGTAGCTGGGACAACCAGGAATGTGCCACCCTGCCCAGTTAGCAATGCCATTCTTAGGGTCAACAGTCTAAATTTTAAAACTGTTCCTCAATAGCCTAAATTCACAAAGCTGTTCTGTAGATAACTGTTTCTTCTTAAGGAAGCTTATATTTCTGTTTTTGAGATTATGAATACTTTTCAAAGAAATGTAGATTTTTGAAAACTCTATTAGAATGAAGAGATTCTCCCTGAAGTTATCTGTATTTGGAATATCTGTACATGTCCGTGAGGGGGTGAACAGTCTCCTTTTAAAATTTTAAAAATTCTCTCTCTCTCCTATTGTTCTAGGCAATTTACTAACACAATGTTCTAAAGGTATCAGGTAAGTACCGCAAGTCATGTCAGATTCTCATTTAAGCATTTTTTTTAAAAAATAAAGATTCTTAGGGAATCTCTGGTCCATTTTGTCATTGCTAAAAGTGCCCCTGCCTAGACTTTCACAAGAAACCTGTTAATACTAACCTTGAGATAAACTAAAAATCTTTGATCCCAGGTGCTTAAGCAGAAAGAAAAGTTCCTCAAACTCAGTAAGCATTCCAGAAAGATTGTTCACTCTCGGGAGTTGATTGAAAACATAAAACTTATGCTGATTTTTAATTGCACATTGATGATCAAATCAATGAACGAATTTGGTAAAAAAAATGATCTACTAGGATAGTTTAACAAAAAAAAATGTGCTCAAAATTTCTAGAATTTGGGGCTGGGGTTGTCGCTCAGTGATAAAGTGCTTGTCTAGCACATGTGAGGCGCTGGGTTTGATTCTCAGCAACATATATAAATAAATAAAATATAGGTCCATTTTAAGTTTTAAAAAAATTTCCTAGAATTTTATAAAAACTAAGCTATCAAACAATTTTAGGAAAAAGGAAAAAAAGAAAGAAAGAAAGAAAGAAAGAAAGAAAGAAAGAAAGAAAGAAAGGAGTCTCCCCACCAACACAACATCAAGCTTAAGTGTAAAAAAGATCACTAGAAAAGGAAATTAAGCAGAATATCCCTATTCTTTGATTAAACCATTAAAAAAATCTCATTTTAAACTTTTGTGGCAAAACTACAAACTAAAATCAATCGCAACAGTGCAACTTCAGAAAGCTAACACAAAGCCATCTACCTATCCATTCTTTAATGAGTGCCTACTATATGCCAGGCACCATGGAAGATGCTGAGCATCCATGGCCTCGACTCTCTCAGAGTTTATATCCTAATGATGGAGACAGACAATTAACATGATAATCTCAGAATGGTAATGTGGCAAGCAGTGACTGATCCCAAGGGGAAAAAATAGTCTTGCCTTCATATCAGTATGATATATTTAAGAAATTGAGTGTGATTTTCAAATTATAGTTTCTCAAATTGTAACAACTTTCTCTAGACATATTTAAATTATAACTCTTCTTAGAGAAACTTTTCAATTTGTAATCAGAGGAACATTTTAGGGAAATGAGAAAGAATTTTGTTTTTTGATATTGGGGATTGAACCCAGGGGTGCTTTACTACTTAGTGACACCCCATCACTTCTATTTTTTTTTAACCTTCCTCTTTTTTTTTTGAGACAGAGTCTTGCTATGTGGCTTAGGACCTCACTAAGTTGCTTTGCCTGGTCTTGAACTTGTGACCTTCCTGCCTCGGCCTCTGGAGTTGCTGGGATTATAGGCCAGTGCCTCCATGCCTGATAAAAAATATGTTCTATAAAACCTCAGAGTATATCAAGCCTCTTTCAAATTGTGGGAGAGGGAGAAGCATTATTGAACTGTTCACATGAGCTCATGGTGCAATTCCAGGTCCAGGATGTATACTTGACAGGAGACATCCCATTGCAGCTTCTCATCTGGGGAAGTCTGAAGGGCTTAGCAGAATTTCTGCAGTTTGGATCTATCACAGCACATAAGCATGTGCTTTGTCACATGAAATCATCTACTCGCTCTGTTGGACATCTCATTGTTTCCATGGCATATGAGGAGTTATGAAATCAGGAACAAATCCAAATTTTCATCACTGCTATGGATTAAAAGAAACCCACGTTCAAATGAATTCTCACTCTTTTTCATGGGTCTTACTGAGTTTCTAAAGACAGAGGGGGGAAAAATTTAAGGACATTTAGAATCTCCATTGAATTTAAGGCCAGTAATGTAAGATGGGAAAATGAAATCAGGGTAGCAATTTATAGCAATCATAATCCTTTCTGCAATAATTTGTTACTCTGACATATTTCCAAAGAGGCTTACTTTGGAAAAGAGATAATAAAAAATTGAAAACATTTGAATGCATTTCAAAATTCTATAAACAGGTAGTAAATGAAACATTATGGGCTGTTCTATCCTCTCTGCTTTTGGGGGGAAAGCAAAGCTCGCGCTCACCCCAGCCCACCAGAGACTTACATCGTATCCACTGTTACGGATGCCACGCCGGGGTCGCTCTCGAGTGACCAGAAGGTCCATCTCGGTTTCTCCTGGACTCGGGCTGTTCAGAGACTGCCGGCTTCGGTAGACAGAGTTCTTCATCTGTTGCCTGAAGAAATTTCAACAACTGTTATGATGCAGCAAATACCCTGACAGATGGAATTCTCCACTGATCCAAAACTACAGGCAACCAATGAAGGGTTTGGATTTGCTTCACAAATCTCAAAACTGATGGTGTTTGTTCCCTGGCCAGAATAGGCTATAGAAAGAGTAGAATAAAGATTCCCCCCCCCCCACCCCATCACCCAGAGGCTGGAACTATATGGTTGAATTATAAATGTTCTTTCATATGGAGACTAGGTAATTACAATCAATGGCAACAGTGCAACCTCATCTAAAATTCTGCTGACGGCAAGACCAGGGGCTCTGCCTGGACCCTCCAGGACAGTTAACGCTGGTGCAACCAACTTGCCTTTGCTGACTTTGTTGACTGAGCAGGTCTCCGGTTCCTTTGACTCAATCTGATTTCAAGTGCAGGATTCTATGTGTCAATAAACCCTGTGGCCAGTGGGCTGCTTAATATTGTGATTAGTGATAGATTTCTTTTCTACAATTACCACAGTAGTTGGGCTTAAGAAACCATAAATCGAGAGGCAATTTGGGGCCTGCTACGGTTTAGATCTTAAGTGTCCCCCAAAAGCTCAGGTGTTGAAGGCTTGGTCCCCCAAACCAGCAGTGTTCAGAGGTGGGGCCTTTGGAAGGTGATAGGATCATGAGGGCTTTGACCTCATCGATGGATTCATCCATTGGTGTATTCATAATTTAATGGGCTATTGGGAGGTGGTGGTAAATTAAGAGGTGGGGCCTCCTTGAAGAAAAGAGGTCTTTGGGAGTGTGCTCTTGAATGCTCTATTTTATCTCAGCCCCTTCTCTTCCTTCTCTCTCTCTCTCTCTCTCTCTCTCTCTCTCTCTCTCTCTCTCTCTCTCCTTCCAGGCTGCCATGATATGAATGGCTTTGTTCAGCCATGAGGTCCATCTCAGTTATTCTGTCACAGTGACAGGAAGCTAACACAGGGCCATCCATCCATCCATTCTTTAATGAGTGCCTACTATGTGCCAGGCACCATGGAAGATGCTGAGCATCCATGGCTCTGACTCTCTCAGAGTTTATATGGTAATGATGGAGACAGACAACTAACATGACAATTTCAGAATGACAGCGTTATAGAGAAAAACAGGGGCTATGACAGAGGGTGACTGGGATGGAAGATGACTTCAGATAGAGGTCAGGGAAGACCTCTGTGGGAGGTGGCATTTTTAGCAAAGTCCTAAATGGAGTCAGCCCCATGCTGATGTGAGTACAGAGTATTTCAGGCCAGGGAGTAGCACATTCAGAGGCTCTACACAGCTACTTCTAGAAAATTCAACTGACGAGCAGGACCAATCACAGCATTGCATCTCCATGGCTATGTGATTGGTCAAGGGGTGGGCACATGACCCGAGTTGGTTTGATGAGACTGAGTCCCCGAGCTTTAGCTAGGGCAACTAGGAAAAGGGGCATTCTCTTGGCATTGAAGTTTTTAAGAAGATAGGGACACAAGCCTGGAATTACTGGCAGCCAGTTTACCACCATGAGGGTAAAGCCTGCCTTCAAACCAGGCTGTCAAGGAGTAAAGAGAGAGCAAGAGCAAAGGCAGAAAACATTGTATGCCCTCCTTGATCCAGCCACACTGAAACCTTGACCTTTCAACAATGTTAAATACTACATCCCCTTTTTATTAAACCAGTTTGTGCTGGATTTCCACCATTTTCAACCACCAAGAATGTTGACTAATATCAGAACTTCAACCTGATGTTATAAACTGTGTCCTCTAGTTATTCTCAAATCACAGGCTTCCCTTAGGAAAGGCACTCAACCTCAGTGGGCTTGTGAGACAAAATCGGTTCTGAGGGACTCACACTTTAGAGCCTGAAGAATTCTCATCCTGACCTAATTACAAATGATATCTTTAAAAAAGCAGGCTTCGAAACTCTCCTGAGATTGCCAATTAGCTCATTGAGAAAAGATTCACTAATAAGGATGGTGGCCAAGTAAGTAGTAGGATTGACAACGGAGATTTCAGGAGGTTATTGTGTAAGTATTAGAAATACAATAGGGAGATGGTATAAGCCATTTCAAGAAGCCTGAACATGGGTAAGAACCAAGACACTGGAGTCTAGTCTTCCCTCAGAGAAGATGTGCCATTAGGATGCACAGCTCCACCTGAGCTTCAACACAGATCTCCATTGACCAGATCCCCAATATGTGCCTGGTATATGGATAGCTACTTAGAATTAGGCTTTCAGGTAGAAAAATGGCCTAATTTGATCAAATGGAGTTCCATTAGGTAGACTCATTTTTTTTTGCTGGTATTTTGGAAAAGTTAATACATTTTAGAACAGGCAAACTTGAGAAGTAAGTTTTTTACCTTTGAAAATATTGTTGTGTGGATAATGATGAGTTTCCTTTGGCTTTTGAAGAGCTTTTTAATCCCAGGGTTGCTAAGAAAGTAGTTCACAAATTGAACCCTGAGATGGCCTAGAGGTTGCATTAGAGCAACTCTATCTTTATAGGTTATCGCCTTCAGGTGGGCCCCCAGATGTGCACTCTATGGTGATTTGAGTGCCAGGGGTTAATTTGTGAGGCAGTGCCAGAGGAACGGGGAGGAAAAGGAGGGAAGCCATCCACTGTGGAGCAGATGAGTGTTTTGGGTACCTGGGGCTCAAACTCACTGGAGAAGTGTGGGAGATGGTTGCTTTAAAACGTAGGTGTAGTTATTATTCAGGTCTGACAAGGCTGGAAGACCAGGAGATGATGAAAAGGTAACTTGTTACACTCACAGATCTCAAGAGGAGGGGATAGGCCCCACCCCGGAGAGGCCCCCTAGGGAAGCACCAGGTTGGTCAGGAGGCCAAGGGAGTCAGGAGAAAACATGGGCCAAAGACTTCCTTGTGGTTTCCGTGGGAAGTAACGGGCAGGGAAGGAGCAGGCTGGTAGTGGGATAGTTTGGATAATTTGGGCAGATCTTAAGGCAAGAGGGCTCAGTCATCTGGTACCTGGCCCTGGGGTGATTTGGGCAGGTGGATAATGGCCTAGAAGGGGAGCCGGTGAGATCATCTAAAGGAGGTGACCAAGGCGTGGGTTCTGGATGGGATGGTTTGCATATGACAAGTGCATCTACAGGTTAAGTCCTCTCCTATCACTAGGAACTGGGCAGCCCTGGGAGGGACGGTTTTTCTGGAGTCAGCAAAGACTCCTCGGTCTAAGCACCGAATACAGAAACTAGAAAAAGTGGTTATTACAGCAGCATAGCTGACACCTCAGAGTTCCCTTGCCAGGGCTATTTATCCATCAATTCCCATTTGTCATCAACGAAGGATGCTGCATAACACATTAACAACTCACACTGCTGAGAAAAGCTGTTAGGTGGGATTCCTACAGGTTTATAGAATGCAGGCGTGAACCGGGGCAGCGAGATGGGAGCCTGCACTACCGCACCTACGCACTAGTGTGCACTTTGTCTTGGTAAAAGTTTATAGTATAAAATGGAGTGTTTCTCTGATTCTAGGAAAAAAAGAGCCATGAAAAATCTTTTAAAAGATTTAATGATGAGTCAACATTTGGAATCTAAGCTTTGTAGCCTTTTTTTTTTTTTTTTTGACTGAGCTTCAGTTTGAAGGTAAAATTACTGATGCTACCTCTGGACTAGAGAATGTTTCTCTCCCTGCGCCTGCTGTGGCTGGGTCTCTGGAGAGCTGTAGAGAGAATAGCAATTAACAGGTAACTCTAACCTGTGAAAACAGATAAACAGCAGGCAGCCTCTGGAGTCAAGGGCAGAATGTGTCAAGAATTACACCCTCAAGCTTACAGGGAGTCTATCTCCTCTTCTTTTCTGATGATCTTTCTCCCCCTTCCCATCTCTTAAGGATCCTATCTCCATTCCTATTCCCAGGTCACCCAGTTTGTGATTATCCATTATTATTGTTCCATAACCTGGTCAAAGTTCTCAAATAAATTAGTTTTTGGTGCTTCAAGAGTCATTGAATCATTTCTTCAGTGAACATGTACTGAGAATTAGTGACACATGCCCAGCAGCAGCAGCAGGCCACCGACCAAGGCCTTCCGCATCTGGCCTGAACCTATGCTGGGTAGTGCAGAAGACAGGTCCATTCATTTCTTTGTTCATTATCTTTTCATAAAAAAAAAAAAAGCCATCATTGAAATTGTTCTTGCTCAAGTAACTGTCAAACTAAGTTCCTCTTCTTTGCACATGATCATTGATTCATCTTCCCTGAGTGTCAGCAGGAAACTGAGGAAAAGGAGGTCTCATCCCTGACTATAAGAGACCACTAGAGTAAGGGGTCCCAAACTGCAAAGTAAAAGTTGAAGTAACCTCCAGCCTCCAGACAAAATCCATATCTTCTCTTCTTTCCTACAGTCATCAAGTGCAGGAAAGCACATGCATCGTGACCCCTGTCACGGTGTCACTTTATATCAATAGCTTCCATACCAACCAAGCCTAATTGGAAGCATGGTGAATTAAGCTCCGGTTGAGAGTTTCCTCTTTTTCTTTGTAGAGAATAAGTTATGCTGATTCTATTCATAAATTTTCACTCCCCCTCTCAAGTTGGTTTTTGAGGCTTTAATCCAAGCCTGTCATGTAGTCATTTTTCCTCTTGATAAATACCCCATTCAGGCCAGGAACTGCCCTAGTGAGCCTCAGCTGTGAGCATGGACCTGCAGTGGCTCTGTGACAGGTGACAGTGGCAGCATGTTCAAAGCTGGGGGAGGGAAGTCACCAAGGAGAGAGTGGGTGTAGGAAAGAGGCAGTCTTGAACCATGAAAACGGCTCAGGGAGGCAGGAAGGGGAGAAAGGTGGGTGTGCTTGGCTTCGCTAACCTGAACCTCTTCCCAGGTAGGCGAGGGCACTCTGCTGAGGTGGCTTGGAAGGCAGCTGCTATTGGTAAAATGTTCTTTTTCCTCCAAAAACCCATGTTGAAATTTGGTTGCCGCTTTGGCAATGTTAGGAGGCGGGATATTTTGGGGGCGATAGGGCCACCATGGCTCTGCCCATGTGGATGACATTAACCCATGAAACCCCAAGTTTTCAGTTCTTTCAATGAAATTGGCACAGATGCATTAAAATAGGCTGAAAATCATAATCTAGAACTTAAATGTTATTATATTAATTAGCACTACATGAAGATATTATGATACAATTATACTCTTCCTGTGTAATTGTATTATATGTTATGTACTATATTTAAATATGCATAGGTGTTCCACTTCAAGGGCAATGGGACAAAATGGGTTAATGTCATTACAGAAGGGTGAGTTTGGCCTCCTCTTGCCCTCTTTGTCCTTCTACCTTCTGCCATGTGATAATGCAGCAAGAATGTTCCTGCCAGATGCTGGCATCTTGACCTTGGACTTCTCAATCTCCAGAAATGTGAGAAAATGAATTTCTGTTCATTAAAAATTATCCAGTCTCAGGTGTTCTGTTATAGCATCATAGAACAGATTGAGACAGACGCCAATTCAAACCACCTACACTAGCCCTACCTCACTAGGCTAGGGGCCCCCTTTAGATCACTGTGACAGCCCGCATTTCAAAAACCCATCAGACTTGTGATTAGCATTTTAGGGTAATTATATTTCTCTCCCAACAGACCTTAATTTCCAGCAATCAGCCTGTCTGGTCCACTATAAAATGTTGAAGGAATTGAAGGAATAAATGAGAACACACATGGTCCTGACAGTATGCAGCATCCTGACTGGTACCTAATACACAGCAGGTGACAATAAATGTTGAAAATTGAACAAATCTATGAGTGCACAAGATGAACCAGCATGGAACGCTGAGCAGCAATGTGATAAGCACTTACTAAGCCCGAATAAAAAGGTGAAGCATGAAATTTGCTTTTCTTATGCAACAGCCACTAACATAATTGAAAAATACAATGTCCCTTGATCTAGAAGTTGCATTAATATGGTAGGTGATAATTATATTTTCACCCAGCTCTGAAATGGCTACTGGTTTGAAAATACCATTAAGGCAAAGGACAATTATGGTTGTTTGCCTTGGTATTTTTTTTTAATGGCTTCAATTTTACACTCTTCCTGACTCATCATAGAGCATCTGCTTGCACACTCTGGCGAGGCCCAGATCAGCAGCCTGCAAAGATCACAGTCCTCAGGCACCAGACCAAGGGAGCAGGTCTGTATTGCCCAGGGCATCCTTAGCCCTCATCCCACATATGATACAGCAACCTAAAGCAAATTCTCTAGAGCCGCACCTGTTTTTAGACTCCGCGAAGGGAGCGCACAGCTCCGGGTCTGGATCCAAAACATGCTCCATTTCCTTTGGGGATTTTTCATACATCTTTTTTCTCTCGGTCAGACCCTTGTTTGCCTCCACGGGGGGGAAGTCATAGTACCCCTTCCTCTTGGCTTTGAGGCGCAGTTTGTTCCGATAGTGCTCGATGTCTGACTTCTGTTTCAGGGCTTTGTTCACCTGGAGGGAGAGACAGTCTTAGGCCACACCTGACCCAGCATGCCCAACATCTGGGGGGCTTTCACCAGAAGGTCACATCTCCTGGAAAAGCCAGCCTAGGCTTCACCTCTGGTCCTCTGAGCCAACCAGACTCACCTGGGTCCCCTTTTCACACCAGCCCACAAATAGCATGGAGCCTGGCTCTCACTGGGTCACCTGACCCCTTCTATCAGGACCTCCTTCTCCCTCTGTCCTGGGTGCTGCTCAGGCCCAGGTCTTACTCTTCACACTTCGTTTTGTGGTGCTGGTCCTAATTCTTTCTTCATTCTTTTGGTTCCTTGATGTGGGGAACTTTGACCTGGTTCACCAGCTAGTTTTTATGTTCTGAGTCTAGTTCCAGCCCTGAGAAACCCGGTGGCCTCCCTTGGCCGTCTATCGGAGGCCCAGCTGGATGAGACCACTAGTCCCTGAGGCCTGTGAGTTGGGATGACTGGAGAAGGAAGGGAGGACAAGTGTCCTGCTCCTGAGGCCACACTATCAAACTGCACAAGGATGAACATTTCAGTAAATCAGAGAGACCATTTTGAAGCTTCATCTGGCTACTAATGCCAACCAGGTCCTGCTGGATGGGGCAAAGCCAGTCTGGTTTTTTTTTTAGAAAGGAACATGGCTAATGTCCCTCTGACCTGTGAAAGATACTGGCAGATGACCGTGATTAATAAATAACAGAATGATAAGGAGTTTGCACCCACTTTGCTGAACTTTCTTTGTGGTTGTTATGTTTTCTTTAAAATATTCTTTAAAAGAATTTCCTGTAATTCATAAAAGGAAAATTTATGGCTTTGGGGTTATGGGTGGTTTTTTTTCCATTTAAACCAGTCACCCATGAGAAAAGAAGAAAGAAAATTATAAAGCAATCTGTGTCAAGCTCCACAAGGCAGCAAATTACAGAGAACAGTTCAGGGCTCTCTTCCAATCCAAATGCCAGCAAGGTCCATTCCTTTAACTACCCAAATGTAGCAAGAATTCATTTCTGGACAAGGAAAATGCTCATCTGTTCTCCTTCTGTTGACAGGGTGATGGGCCTGGGAGGAAAAGGGAGTGGTAAATCACATCTCTCCCAGATTTGGAGTCTGTCTCCATGATGCTCTTATGATTAAGATGGGACAAAGAGTCCCAGGCAAGGCAGCCACAATTAGGTAGAGGGTCCTAATTAAGAGCCAGCTAATTCTTTTTGGCCTCAGCACCCTGCATGTCTGATGGCAGAATTGCACCCATGGAGATTCAGGGGTTTTGAGAAGGCATCCAGGCTATCAAATTATAGAGCCAAGGGGCACAAAGTACATGAACAACTAATCCATCCTTGTTGATTGATGGTAATAATAAAGTGCTTACTGTGAGTTAGGCATTGTTCTAATGTTTCACCTAATGCCTCAGAGCAGCCCTATTTTATGGATGAAGATGCTGAGGTACAGAAGATTTAACTAACCTGCCTAAGGTCACCCAGATGGCAAATGAAAGGGCTGGGATTCAAACCATTGTGGTATAGCTCAAGAGACCAATGCTACTTTTTCACCAATGGTCTGAAAAAAAAATTTTTTAAAGAGAAGGAAGGAACATTGGACAGGGAGCCAGGGCATCTGAACATCATGGCTACCACAGTAATCTTCACTTTGACTTTGAGCAAGCCATCTGATCCCTTGGGCTCAGTTTTATTTATCTAAAAAATCAGGAAGGTGAAATGGATGATCCATGAGTCTATATAGCTGGTTGTTTTTAAAAGTCAACTATCACAACTTTAGGCCATCTCAGTCTTTCTGCCAGAGGTACTTCCTCAATCAGGTTCATAAAATGCTCATGTAAGCATCCTGGATGGTGGAATAAGGACAACCCCGGATGGATGTTTACAACACCCGGTTGTACAGGGACTGCGACGCTTTCTTGAGGTATGGTAGTAAAAACACTTTAAAACTTCAGAAATCTCCCACCTGTTGGAGGTAACATCAGGGCATAAGCAAATGAAAGGCATGATCATCCCGACGGCTTGGCATCAGAGGAAAGCATCAGACTGTGAGTGCTTGTGTGTGCTCACATGCCCGCACCCCTGTGTAGTGTAAGCGTTCACAAGCGGGTTCCGTATACACCTTCTTAAAGGTTCATAAACATTTTTAACCCTCTGACCATTTTTCTGCAGAAGACAGAGGATGGCAGGTAATTTTTACCTGACTTCTTGTTCTCCCTTGGAGATAGCATGGGCTCTGCCCCTCCCCCCATCATCTGTCAGTCATCAATTATCTATCAATTACCTATCACCTGTTTATCATCTGTCCTCATCTGTTCTCTCTCTATCTAATTTTATTTGGTAAATCATCGCTCCCTAACATACGTTATCAATTTTTTTTCAAACTCCAAGGAAAGTTGATTAATATCATGTTACCCATGGGTATTCTCCTCAAAGCAGCCAATGGGTTGTTTTGAGCTTTCTGGAACGAATAAATGCCATTTCAGAGCCTACAGCGGGCCCCATCCCTGTCCACACAATGATAGATTCTCCACTTCGTCTCAATTCACCCCCTTCCCACCACCATCACAATGACATCCTTAATGGCAATTTGGGGGTGTGAGGCAGAAGGCTGTAGGCGTGAGGGGCAGGGGAAGTAGGATTTCTGATGTTCCTCTTCATAACCATACTTTTTAAAAGGCTCCCTCTGGGCTTTCAGAGAAGGCAGAAAATGCTCTGAAGATGTCAACCATGGAAGTCTACCATGTGCAGAGGCAAAAATGACCTTGAGAGGCTGGGGTCAGCTCAATACCCCTTACTCCGAATCCCTGAGGTCTGGCCACACTCTGCCCAGGGTCCCTGGATGCTCACCTCCCCGTTGAGGACGGCTGAGGTCTCCTGGCTCCTGTCCGAGGTGGGGTGTACCACGGGGAGGGCTGCGGGTTTGATTGCAATGAGCTGCACAGACCCAGAGGACGTGTCGAAGGGATCAGCAGCCACCTTGCCAGAGTTGTCAAAGAGGACAGGTCCCTCCTCTTCATCACTCGCTGGCACTGAAGCATAACATTAAACACATTGATTTTACTATGATGTGCGGGCGCTGCGTGGCCAGAGAGAACAGGCTGCAGTCTTGGCACCTAAGAATGCCACTTGACTCAAAACGACATCAGAGACAACAGCATCTGGATTTGTGTCCAGGGCTCACGGCTGCTTGTGGTTTTCTTTTAAATTTCAGATCGGTGCTATTTATCTGCCCCCTCCCGTTGCATTATCCATGGGCAAGAAAAAATTTTAAAAGTTCGAATTTAAACAGCAAACACCATTCTTCCAAAACTGTGACAAAACGCATTTGAAAATGAATAAAAACTAAATTTGTCTTCTGTTTGAGTTGGAAATGGGAAAAAAAAAATTGGCCAAACCCCACAACTATTCTTAACATCTACCATCATCAGAGGCAAGCGTGCAGTGCAGTCCTGGCCACCAAAGTGACAACCTTTTGCATGGTGCCAAGATGGCAAGTCTCTCTTAGTCCACTGGCTACTCTCATTCTTGTTAATACTTTTTTTTTCTTTTCTTTTTCTTTCTGAAGGCTCGTTCTCCGAGAATTTGGGTTTTGGTTTTTTTCATTTGTTTAAAACAAAAGAAAGCTATAAAATAACCACCAGAAAAACAAAATCATTAAATAACTAATTAAATAGACTGATTACCACCAACGCTTGGTTAAATTAATTTCCCATCTGACAGATAGTTCTGCTGTGATGGCTGAAAGACACCAGTTGGCTTTGTGTTTTCCCAACTGAGCTGACAGAAGAAGTTCCGGGGCCAGTGGTATCTTGCTGATTTCCTTGTTCTTAAAGCATATTCCTAGGAAGTAACTATAGGAATGACAGCTTAGTGAGCGTGGCTTGGCAAGAGATAAATTAAGCCTGTTCAAACAACTACACCAGCAGACAGTTTAGAAGCAAAATAGGTATTATATAAAATATGAATGTAATGGAAGTGTATTCATCTTTCCTCCTGCCTGCTCAAGAGACTGGGATGTTGTTTAAATTATTGAGAAACACATAGTATGTATCATTCTGTCACTTATCATAATCACAGAAGATCTGTCAAATTAAGCCAAGTAAATTGTTATTTTACAGTGTGGATAAAACACCTCGGAGTCTAACAATGGGTTATAATTAGTTTTTTTTCATTTTTAGAGTTTTGTGGACTGATTTGCAAAGAGTAGTTCACCAAGCAGCCAATGGCAGAGGACAATCTCTCTTCAGGCATGTTGCTAGATGTGTACATATTTTTAGAGGTTAGCTTAGCTGGGCACCTCTTGTCTGGTCACCACTACCATTTCCCACCTGCACGTGGTAAACAAACCATATGAGATAACCAGCCTCCAAGTTGGCTCCTAATAATTCTCATCTCCTAATTCTCACCCAATGAATAGAACTGATCTAGGAAACCAAGAGGAAATTGCACAAATGACAGTGTGTTACTTCCAAGGCTTGGTGGTAAATTGTGGAAAGCCATCCGTGGGCTGTGTGTGGACTACATCATGCACTGCAGCCCAATGAATAGGTGAGTTGGGTGTCTGGGAATTTCCAGTGGACATTTCCTCTGATCGACTGCCCAGACACATCATGAGCCTTATTTAAGCTCTGTCCCAGGTCCCACATAGCACAGGAGATGGGATGACCTGCTACAACCACAGCAGTGCAGCCCTCTGAGATGGGTGTGGTCTGCCAAGATGCCAATCAACCTGCTGACTGCGAGACCTCATGAAGCAAGACTCTGCCCTTGAAACCTTACCTTTGCCTTTGATGTACCCCCTTAAATAAACCACAGGAGCCATTTTCTAATTGTTTAGCTCCAGCTCCCGGTGTGGCCTGGATCTATAGGGCTCCATCTTTAAAACTATCATTTCTCACTGTTTGTCTTTTGTTTTTTACTAATTATTCTAGACTTTAATTTCTCAGGAGGCTTATCCCTGTAAGCAGGCAAGAAATCCCTGGTGATTGCACACCACTCTGCGAGAGTAAATAATAATTAAAAAAAATACCATGATGTCTTCCACCTTGCTTTCTAGGGAAAATCAGCAGCCATGTTAGGAGGACACTCAAGCAGTACTATGGAAAAGTCCATCCGACAGGGAACACGGGCTTCTTGCCAACAGACATGTGAGTGAGCCATCTGCAGGCTCAGTCAAGGTGTTAGTTGACTACAATTTACACCTACATCTTGACCATGATCTCATGAGAGACCCTGAGCCAGTATCACCCAGCTAAGCCACTGCTAAATTCCATACCCACAGAAATTATGAAAGACAATAAATACAGATTGTCATTTTAGTTCACTAAGTATAGGGGCAATTTTGTTACATGTATACCTTCCAAGCAATCACCTACCTTGGCATTTCCACTCTTATCCCTTTACCCCTAAATGCATATTCCCCAGCAGCAAGGATGGATGAATTTTGAAAGGGAACAAGATCACATTATGTCTGATCAGAACCGTCTGCAGACTTCATCTCTCCCCTACATGGACCTGGGGGAGCTGGTGCTGGCCACTTCATAGAGCCCATCTCCTACCCACTAATCCATTCTGCTCCATCACAGTGACATTCTCAGTGGCCAGTCAAACAAGAAGAGCTCAATACGTTTTTGCAGTCTAGCATTTCTAAACCATGCATTTCTATTTTCACCTGCTCTGTGTTTTGCTTTAGCCTTCCCCTTCTCAGACTGCAATTTCTAAAGATCTTTCCATGCCCAGTACCTTCTTACTTTTCAAGTTGCAGCTTGAAAACTATTTTCCCTAATCACCAGCCTACAACCACCCCTTGTTATACTTTCTTCATTGCTCTTAGCATTACTGATTTGATGTACTGACAATCTGCCCTTGCCGTACCACTAGCATAGAAGCTCAACTCCTGCCCATCTTTTCAAAGGCTGATGCTTCTTGCCTTTCAATGGTGTTTCCCATGGATCTGGCTTTCAATAAGTATTTGGTGAATAAATGAATGACTGAATGAATGGCTCAGTTTTCTTGGCTTGGGAAAGGAGATATGAGGGCCAGAAAAACAGATGCCAATGTGGATGTTAAAGTCATGCTATCACTAAACCATTCAGAGGTGAAGAGATGGTATGGAGCATTTTTATTGCTTCTGGGTTTGACACCTTCACCCCTCATGCTGTGGGCAGCATAATTATAACAGGACAGGAAAATGACATCCTAGAAATTGTATAAGTTACAGTTCTATTTCTACTTCAATTTGAAAAAAAAAAAAGTCATATCCAGATTTGTACAACAATTCCTCTAGGGTTTTAAGATTAATTAGTTATCCTCTTTCCAAAAAGACTTTACAGAAAAATACATTCAAAGACATCATGTTAAATATTAATGCATTAAATGTTGTGTGAGAACAGAAGGTTCAAGGGGATTTTAAATCATAATTAGTCGCTAAAGTAAAAAGCATGGAAGGATGCTAAGGGCAAGGGCCACAGTTAGGCCAAGGAAGGGTTTTGGGATGCTATCAATACAGTAGATGCCACTACGCCACCATTTCCTATTTTGTTGTACTTTATTTGCATTGTTGGTTTTTATTTCAGTAAATCAAGTTAGAAAAAGATTTCACTCTTCATGTTCAATTGGCATGGGGAAAACCCTCCCATTGGAGGCAGAAATGCTATTCAAACATATTCTTTCTGAAATGTTCATTAAAGCCAAAGACAAATAATCTACAACTAGAATCACTGCTCTGTGATATGATTTGATATGCTGATTACCATGATGTGATCATTCCACACATATACAGGTACCAAAAAACCACATGGTACCCTATGAATATCTACAACTATCATTTTCCAGTGAAAACCAAAATGAGTAAAAGCAAGCCTCCACATCATTGGGAGAGCAAAGAATAAATGAGAACTGAAACTGTGTTTTTTGAGCTAGTATCTCTGACATTCTTCCTTCCCGTCCTAATTCTAGACCTTTCCCTAAGACCCCGGTGAGAAAACAATTGACTCTAATGCCTCATTTGCCCATGGCTGTTAGATTCTGGGCCTGATAGTGAAATCTGAATGACACAGGATTTAAGGAGGTTGTTTACTCCTAAAGGGACTGAAAAATACACATATTTCATTTGAACTTAACTCTCTTTTGGAAAACACCTTTCAAAGGTGACACTAGGTTTAAGTGCAAATGTTTGTATTTGGTTGAGGAAAACATTCAATTGTTCTTGTTGTCACATCTAACTTTCCCATTTATATTTCAACGTTTTCATGAAACTGCATTGCAGCTATGGTCACTAAGAGGCTATTGGGCAACAAGGAGCTGTGGAAGTGACGCTGCTAGCAGGAGAGTGTCTTTTCCTCTTAAAGTTCTTATTTTCACAAAAGAAGAATATTAGAAGCTACAAAAACTGGTGCAACAAAACTGGGGGAAAATAATAAAATAATAACTGGTGGAAAATAATAAAATAATGTCAGCCCAGCACATTAACATTAATTAACCTCTGTAACCCTAGCTTCTAGAACACACACTAAGCCATAAGACAACGGTACTGGAATATTCCACACCAACAGAAGAATCTGTACTCAGAGGCCAAACGAGAAGAGCTCAATACTTTTTGCAGGCTAGCAAAATGACAAAAAACACGCCTTTCTATTTTCTCCACAATCCCATTCAGTGTTTTTTATCCCCCTCCCTCCCTCCCTCCCTTCCATCCATCTTCTAATCCAAATACATTATTGACGTTTATTGGTTAACTCTAGTCTTACAATAAAAAGGAGCCCTTTGATTAGAAAAAGACAAATGTGGGTTTCATAAAAGATTGATTCTAGAATGCCAATGTGGTCCTGCACTGATTGCGTTTTAAATAAAATGAGTGAGTTGGTTCTATCATTCCTAGTTGGAAATTTTAATCTTTAACCTCACTGAATGGAAACTTACAGTAAAGCAGAAACAATCACTGAAAATTCACTGCGATTACTTGGCAAAAGTAAAATGTGAGCGAGTAAGCACTCTAAACCTGGGAAGGATAGTTTCTTAATAAAACAAACAAAAACCTCAACCTGGTACAGTAACTGATTTTCTTCACACATCTGTCTATTGCTATTTCTGGACCTGTCGTTTGTTTATTTGTTTTTGGTTCCTTTTAGTTATATCTGACAGTAGAATTCATTTTGATATAAATGTACAAGCACGGAATGTATCTTATTCTAGTTAGGACCCCATTTTTATGGATGTACATGATGGTGGGATTCACTATGATGTATTCATATAAGATGGACCACCTATTTAAATAGTCAGTGACCTAAACATAATAAGGAGGCAGGCAAGCAGGTGAACAAACAGGAACAGTGAAGGACAGCAGGGACAATTAGAGCAGGTCACAGTGTCTCCAGGGGGGCGGGGAGTGACACGCTCAATAAGTGGCTGCTTCCTCTTCCTCCATGGATTAAATACAGGAGAGGGCAAAGGGCATCATGTTATGAATGTCTACTCATTGTCAGAGAAGTCTGTACTTTGCACATTTTTGAGCAGGAAAAAGGGAATAGGATAATACGTACATTGATTCCATTTCATAAAAGAAAACAAAGCAAGATAACAAAACACAAAGATAAGTGCATGTTATTGTATGCATAGTAAAAAGGTCGGAGAAAGACATACACTGAGTTATTCAGGGTTACATGAGGCCTGGGGTGGGTGAGTGGGGAGGGAGGGTAGGATAATATCATCTGGATTAGAGGTCAGTGACCACTGCATAACTTGTATCCCTTGGTACCTCAGAGGGTTGGTTCCAGAATACTTACAGATAACAAAATCTGGATGCTCAAGTTCCCTACATAAAATGGCTTAGTATGTCTTCCCATGTACTTCAGATCATCTCTAGGTGACATGATAGTTTAAACAGGTGCTTTACATTATAACTGGAAATAAGGATGGGGACTATGTTTTCTCTCTGGAATGCAAATTCACTCTGTGTGTCTATCTTTCTTTTTTCCCTTCTCCTTCTCTCTCTCTCTCTCTCTCTCTCTCTCTCTCTCTCTCTCTCTCTCTCCAGAAAAAAAGAAATAAGTGACATTTGAAAACAAAATAATATTCTGGCACCAGCTTCAAGAGAGAGTTCCTGAACTTCACTTCATCAAATTCCCGTAAAAGAAAAGTGCAGCCAAGCACAGTGCCAGATTGCTTAGCTTTTCACCTGGCATTTCTGTACAGCTCCACCTATAACCCTTCGAAATCCAAAAGGAATTTTCCCTGATCTGAAACCAGCAGCACCAAGCGCTTGTACTCTGCTCTCCAGTATGCAGCCTCACGAGCAGAAGGACCACATCGGGATGAGGGTCAGAACAAAGGTGGGATCAGGAGAGGGGGGATGCACATTGATGTCCAACAGAGGTGATCTATAGCACAATAAGGGAGCTCAGGCAACCCAGAAATAGACCTCAAACACATCCTTTATGGGGAATGAAATGATCTGTGTGAGACAGAAACTAAACACTTAAGTTTCCCAGAAGAATTCAGCATAAAGCTGATTTTTTTTTTTTTTTAAATCACAGATCTGTTCATGGTCCCCTGCTCCAGATGTATTTGCAATATCTCGACTCACTGGTACAGACTGAACCCCCTGAAACTCATCAGGGGTATCAGGGCGAGAAATCGCAGAAAATCTCAAAGAAGGGCAACATTTCTGAGACCTGCTACCTTAATGGACCCGAAGCTAGAAATCATGTGGATTCACTGAAGAAGTTGAAAAATCTCTAAGCAAACATCAAGTCGTCCTGCAGAGGGATTTTCTAAGGAACAGCACAATTCCTTAAGAACAGAGTGCAGAGAGGAGAGGACGGGACAATTCAGAGAAGGAGCTATGGTGATCACCCAAGAGGTTCACAGCCGACTGGGGGTCCTTGTCGTGCAGAAGAAAGAGGACCCCGTTCGTGCGACACATGCGCAGGCGTGGGCGCGGGCACGCGTGGGAGGGGCTGGTGGTGCTTGGCGGGAAGGCGTCTCACCATTTCTCTTCCTTGCCTCCTCCTTTGTCACTTTCTGCTGTGCCATTACGTTCTGGGGTGAGCGTCTCCCTGAGCTGGGCTTCCCTGATTCGTTGCTGATGACAGAGCCAGTCTCACTGGGCGACCTGCTGGAGGTAACCATAGCAACAAGGAGACCGTAAGTTTCGGCTAGAACAGCCGCCTCTCAAGGTTATTTGCACAGTTGATGTCTGTAGCCTTTCGTTCCAGTTTTACCGGCAAAGAAGAAATGATACAAGAAAAGAAGACAACAGAACCCACCCACACTGCCGCATGGGTGAGGCTGGGGGTGCTGAAGCGCACTCGCCCATGCCCGGTTCCGCAGACAAGTTAGGGGAGCTCAGCCCTCAGTCCCATCGTGGTTTCCTTAACACCCTGGTGACTATGGAAACAATGGCCACCGTGATTGTGTAGCACGTCCTCCTTTCAACACAGAGCACTTTTGATGCTGAGTGTTTGAATCCCCTGGGCGTCTTCAGACATGTATAGAACACAGTTCTCTTTGGCTATTCTCTTCATGGTATTGACCTTAAAAACTACAGATTAAGTCACCCCACAGGGACTTCACTCTGTCAAGTCTCTCTCTCTCTCTCTCTCTCTCTCTCTCTCTCTC